AGTACCAATACTCGACTACACGTGGAAGTAAGATCGCTATCAGCACAATTCGTTTTACATGCCAACGCTGGGAATGGTATTCGTGGCTTTGCTAACGCTATTTGAATGATTTCGTTCACGGAAGTAGGCAATCTATTGACAAATTTATCGACGCAGTAGAAACTTTTGCAGCGTTAGCTTTCTCCTATCCCACCGATTGGGAGTTAACTCGCTCTGAAGATTTCATACGCCTTTACAAGATCCCTGTTGACCGTACTCCACGCCTCTGCATCCACTTGTGCTTTCAGGTTCTTTTTAACGTCTTTCAAACCAACCAGGTTGTTCTTCCACTTGGTAAACTGCGCCGTCTGCACTTTAGTTGCGAGTTTGCTCACGCGCGGGTTACTCGAAGTTGTTGCTGACTGTATCATCCGTGCCAACACAACATCGCTATATTGCTTCTGCAAACTTTCGAGCACTTTCACTCCCACGTTCTCTTTGCCGGCCTCGATTTTCACGAACTTCGCCCAGTCTACAACATCGTCACTACCAAATATAGCTCTCCCCTTATTCTGAAGCTTGTAGGCGTTGAAGGCATCATCAACTGACATGCCTTTAGCGATCCATGTCTGATGTTTCGCCAGAAGTTCTGCTTTCTTATTAAAAGCATCTGCTCTCGCCAATTTTTTTATGGCAGGGAGTACCCTCTCTTCGTCGTCTTGATCTGCAATAGTAGCGGCCCTCAAGAACCTGTTTGTGGTATGGCTTTCAACAGTGACGGAGGATGTTGGTAGTATGGCCGTTTTAGGAGAGATGGTAGCTTCGCTTGTCGTCACGAGTGCTATAGCAGCAAGCAACGCCAATATACTCATGCGCATGACGAATAGCAAATACTGGGGCGTAAAGAAGAAAAGAGGTCCAACTGAGTTGTGAGGGGTTAGTGATTTATTGACGAATGAAGTGGGTATCGGTACGCCAACGGAGAGTGAAAAACACTGGTGTGTGTGAGTACCCCATCTCGAAGTTGATCATCGTCGTATTGTCGTCATTTTCCCAAAGATCTGAACCTAATTCCCAAAGACAATAAGTCACCAAAAGTTCGGCAAAACTACATAAACGCTTTAGAAATATTAAAAATCGATCGAATGTCTTGTTTTCACGAAGCCACAGTCGCAAAAAATGAGATTTTCGCGAAGCATGGATTTGTAGCTTGGATATCTGTGATATATACGGTACAACACTAAATGCAGCGAACAATTGAGTATTCGCAATAATAGCGCATAATTAGTCTAAACTGCACTATTTTCGGATCTAACTGTGTCAAATTGAGTCCAACTGACTCGCAGCTGTAATATTCAGATATACACAATAATATCGTATTTTATCGATAAGACATCAAATTACTTATAAGACCAACATTTCGAATAGCCTGGTATGAACGCCAGTTTATGACGTTTGCACGCTTCAAAGTAAGTTGCGAAGTGAGTTTATTGAAACAAATAGCTCCTCAGTCT